AGGAGTAATAGTTTCACCCTGATCAATACCATTAAGTACAGGGTATGAAGAAGTAAGACCCAAATTTGTGATAACTTGATTTTGTCAGTCAGTAAGCAAGTTGATAATAGTCAGAAAAACCTAAACCACCCTAGCTTTAACTTATCTTTTCTAAAGCTACAGCTACAACAACTACAGAATGTAGCAAACATCAACATATCTATTCTTTCACAACTTCTAGTCTTCTCAACCATACAAACCTATACACAAATCTGCCAAATGATACTGGCATTGTATTACAAACCTTATATAATAGAGACAACTGGCCTCTTCCAAAAGAATTTACTGGTACTTCAATAAACCAGATCTTTTTAAACCACCCTAGAGCTTCTTATCTCAAAGAGAAACTAAACAACCATAACATCTTCAGTGTTGAACAATTCCTAAATACAACTAATACTAAACTTCTAGAGTAGAATAACTTTCACTACAATTTCAAGAAAATACCTAGAGCCTAATGTCCGCACTGGTTTCATACAATCCAAGACCTAATAGCAGGCTCTATAAATCTCTTATCAATACCTTTACACTAAATCCTCATATATTAACCAACTGGACCCATAACAAAAAGAGCTGGATAATTACAAACAAACTAGTTATCAGAAGAATGCACAACTCACTAAACAAAACATTTAAAACTCAACATTACACCTTACAATACACTAACTGCTTGTTAGAGCTGTAGCCTTAAAAATTACTATTATTATTCTAAATACTGCTACTTTAATGCAACAAAGCTATTCTATAATCTTTAAGTAGATTGTAAAAAAAAGATACACATTGATCTAAATAACTTTAAAAAAGTATTAGCTCTCATCTTTGTCTATACATCTCTACTTGGCAATCCAAGAACACTTCTAACCCTGACTAGACCTCTTTGTGCCTTTACAAACCCTTCTATCTCGCTTTGGGATACACTTACAAAAACTAATTTCAAGGCAAAAACCTTGACACTAACTATGACAAGTACTCATCAGAGGATAGAAAACAATCAGCACATTGTAGCAAAATGTCACCTTCAACACAGCTATACATGCTGATGAAATTATTTTAGGTTTCAGAGTATGAAATTAAAATTTGAATACAAAATTGTTTTTGATCTATTTTATTTAAAAAATGAAATTTTTTGATATTTTTTTGAAGAAGTGAAATTATAAAGAATATAACTCCTAAATTAGATTTGTTCTTACATATAAAAAATTTCAAATTGCTCTAATAAAGACAAAATATGAGTTTTTTAAAAACCTATTTCGGTGGTATATATAAACACAGCTATGCTCCATTTGGCTACTACACCAATTTTTGGTCTTTACACATATACACTACTTACTTTGTTGAATTTTGTCCTTACAACAACAAACCACGAATCTCCATCATGATCCATACAAATAATCTTTCTTTCGCCAATCTAATCAATCTCATATACTTGGTTAAATCATACAACTATCCTATACTAGATAAAAAACAACATGCATATTTACTCTTAATACTGAGAATACTAATTTGTGATTGGGAAATTACAATTATCTTTGACAAAGGCACCAAAATCTAGAAAACTACAAACATTATTTTTCTACTAAACTCTGCATCATAGCAGTTTCTACACAACCATTTCATTTCAAGACTACTTAACAATCCTTGTATCTATCTATTAAAAAATATACTAAAATAAATATATCAGATTAATAATCAACTTGTATAGTTTAACCAACAATGAATTACGAACTAGCATACATCACAAAGAAACATCAACTGGACACAGACATTACAATATATCACCTATGGTGAAAGACCATTAGCTCTAAATATGGACCTATTTTCCTCAGCAATAAAAAACTTCAAGG